TTTTCTTCTCTCTCTCTCCTCCCTCCCTCCCTCCCTCCTCCTCCTCTCTTCTTCTTCCTTCCTCTCCTCCTCCTCCTCCTCTCTCTCTCTCTCTCTCTCTCTCCCCCTCCTCTCTCTCTCACTCTGTGTTCCCGGTTATCGTTTCGTTTCCGTACGTATATGGAAATATTTTTCTGCTTGTATACGGTTTACATGTCACGTGTCCGGCCAGAACATTTTTCTACGAAATCCGTTCTCTCTGCAGGCCCTTCCTCGCACTTTTCGCATGCAAGCTAGCGAATGTAACACGCGCGTACGCACGCACGTACGCATGTAAAACGACGTTGAAAAGAAACGGTTCCGCTTTCCTCTGGACGCTTATTTCCAGTCTTTAAGGGACAGAGGGATGCGTCAACTGCATACCCTTTTCACTGATTTCGTCGATGGCGTGTGGTCTGTAAGTAGAAATTGATAAGATCTCACTTTTTGTACAAGCTGTTTTTTTTTTTTTCTTTTTTTTTCCTTTTCAGAAAGTTGGCGCGAATCTGTGAATATAATTATATGCATGATAGAAGTGGGTCAATTAAAAAAAAAAAAAAAAATAATTCAAAGTGAATTGTTAAACGATATAAAGGTATATGTTATACTTAAAATCTTGATCTGAAGATAATCTCGCATGAAAAATAAAAACATATTTTATTTTAATGTAATTTTAATTTGCTCTTTTTTTCTTAATTTTTCCTGAAATTTTTCGTTGTCTTCCTTCTGTTGCAAGATCCTCGATCAATTATAAAGTATAAGTTATCAAAAATCCAAATGAATTTTCGTTGAAATAATTAATTATTATATATATATATATTTTTTTTTCGTTGTTATCCAAGTACAACGTAAATTAAGAAATTGATTGATATTCATTACCGGCCACATGATCCATACCAGTAACCAGGCTGCCGTTGCCATCATCGATGCTAATATGCTCTGGGATGATCAAGCAAGCATACTCAAGCACGCCGCAATGTGTAGCCAAACAGAGAGAAATCATTTTGAGTACTTACGATGATTCTGTAAAAATAATCGTTATACCGATTAAAATAAAAGTAATATAAGTAAGGTAAAATCACCACACATCTATATAATTGAATATAATTTACAGATATGTCTACAGATATCATCTAATAACGATTATTGCCAATAAATTGTTCTACTATAGGTGTGCAATTTAGAAATCATTTTGAAAAAATTTTCACCTGAAACAATATAGAAAACGTATACCGAAACTATGCTGAAATATTTATTTTCGAACAGCGAATATTGATAGAAACAAATTACATCTGTGCATCTTATCGAACATGAATTTCTTAATGGATAAATCTTCCTTGATAAACAAGCGTCTTCGATGGCTCTTGATTATTATACGATTGCTCTTTGATATTTAATATCCGAGCCTTTTTATAAAGAGAACGAGAATCTCAGAGATCAGACTCTGCGATTGTTTATTGTAATGATAAATTTCCACGATATTTGTACCTGTACAACGCAGGTTTATTATTAAGTGGCATGGTTGCACGTCGATAGCTTTGCATTAGTTCTCTCCTTATGATTCAAGCTATAAATAATTTTCCAATATTGTTTCATCCTCGCACGCGTAAGCGCCCATAAGCCACGCCGAGCGATAGTTTTCTCTTCGTACACATTAAAAATATCATCTTGAGGAGGGACCATAGTCTAATGGCTAATGGAAAACTGCGCTATAATAATATCTCACGTGGCCTCGTTGTAACACTCTTTTCAATGCGAATGAATATTAAAGTGTGACGTATCGTTATCAGCAATATTACTATCACTATTTTTAAACAAAGTATTTGCCAATATAAGGACAAGGTTACCTTCTATGGTCAGAGAAGCGAATCTTAGATATGGACATTATTTCTCTAATGGATGGGACGGATGAAATTAACGTTCCTTTGACCTTAAATTTCGTTGATGAATATCAAGAGAAATATATACATGTATAGCTAACATTCTTGCTGACATGCTCCATTATGCCTCCGTGTGGCGACTCAATAAGATTGGTTGATAATTTGGTTCTGTCACGTTGCTGATGTCACGTGATTATATTAGAAATTATATTTTCATGTACGTATCTATCTATATATATTTTTTTAATTTTAATGTGTTCATTTAACAAAGAAGGGAGATTATATTGGAGAAGGTTGTGTGGTTACAGGTGTGTAATTCTGTTTGATTTCTATAATTCATTCAATTGCTGAATTTGTGTTTCAGACGAAATGAGTAGACTAGGATAAAGAATAATTCAAGAAAAATCATTTAAAAATTATAATATATTGTTCCACATAATTGCAAATAAAAGTGACGATCCTTCTGTTTGGCGATTAGAACAACAGTTGGAAATCGGTGCAATAGAATTCAAATTCATGAAAATATAGCAAGTAGTAATAATTAAGTAAGTATTTTGTAACAATTGCAGTCCCTAAATTTTTATATATATATATATATATAACCTTTCCTACAAAATTCATAGTCGAATCGTTACTTTTGGCCTCAGTATTTTAGAATCCAATGAAATCAATTGAAAGAACACATCGCAAAGCGTTTGTTTTAAGTGATTCTAGAAAAAAAGAGCGTGACGTTTTCCCCGGATGTGGTTCTACGTGAACCACTCTTTGTATGTCTGTTGGCAGTGAGCCGAATGAGACTGTCCCCAACAATTCAACTCGTGATCTTAACTTTGTAGAATTCACTCCATTAAATTGTAAGTCTAAGTAGTTACAAGTGCAATTTAAAGAGATAAGCGTTCAACCTGTTACCTGTTATCTTAGCATTTGGAAATTGGTATGCAACAATTTAATTTGAAACTTTCTATAACGTATTTTTTTTTAAAATATTATATTGTTTTTATGGTAATTAAATTACATTTAATTCCGCATTATCTCTATCGACACCTTTCAACGTCTCGTTTCTTTCTTTCTTAGAAATTTTATTATTTTATACCTTACTCGGATGTAAGGTTAATCGAGCCAAGTCGATCCATTTTTTTTTTTTTGCACCATTTGATTTTTACGCATGTATCTGTATTTTTTTGGATTTCATAGAACTTGAATTTAATAGAGATATAGATATCTTCAAAAAAAAAAGTTAATTTCAAAACGATGAATCAATATAAGCTGGATTTATATTCTCTAATTTTAATTTTTCAAATTGTTTTATTAAAATTTGCTTTTTCACACAATTCCCGCATAAGCTTATCAGTTCAGTCAGGTAACTATATTAATTTCTTAGATAGTCTAATTAGCTGTTCAGATAACTTTATTAAGTACTCGTACAGCTACCATAAATTTATTAACTATGTACTTTAGACAGAGCTTTAGTTCCAATACAGTTCGAATACGTGAATACTCGTATTGGAACGCACGACACTCTCAAGATTTTTCTATCATTTCTAGTTGTACGTTATTGTATAACATTAGAGATCCCCGTGAGTGAATGTCAGTTTATCGATAATTCTTTCAATTTTATAATTTAAATAAAACGCGATTTAACTCAATCATATCGATTCCTATTTTGAATGACAGCTGACTGCGTTACGTTGTTAACGATGTATAATGCCTCGACAAGATTGTCCATTGTTTCTTCGAAACAATACCGATCGTACAATCTACTGGAAATCCGTCAAAACTTCTGCATTCATCCAATGTTATACTGCCGAACACGATAATATTTATATTTAAAAGCGCACAGTAACATTTTTCATCGCAAAAAAGAAAAGAAAAAAAATAGAGGAAATCCTCGCGCTAAATCTTACTTAATCGTCATGGATCTGCATGGAACATTAACATAATTTGTAGAATGAATATACGTACGTGATTAAATCTGCGGTTATTATAGTTCACAATCTATTCATAAAAATGTGAAGATGGCGAGAGCGGAGAAGAAAAAGGAGAAAGGAAAGAAGGAAAATTTGTCCACATCTGGAAAAAGGCCAATAATGAAAAATATCACCAGCATTATCCTACTTACTTTTCGCTGACGCGTGCTCCCCGGTGCTCATTGTTGTTTAACGACAACATGTCACATTTCTCGTTACCACGCGGTTAATAAAAGTCCCATCACCAGTCACCGGCATCTTGGCCCTCGTGAACATGATGACGGGTGGAGAATTCTATTTTTCATCGATCGAATCTTGCACGAAGTTGCATTCTTCCTCGAAGGATATCACACGGTATATCACAGTCGATGGTACACTTCAGCACCGGTGTTTCGCGGACCAATTACTGCACACGAAAGAATCACTTGTAAATATGATTATTAAAAACTAGTGGCATGAGATGCTACGAGACGGCCAGCCAGATGGCTGGGTCAAAAGCGACAAAATTGTGTTAAATTTCATTTCAATCTTGTTGTTTGCATTATCCTCGTGATCGTGTCCCAGAAATGACCCAACCATCTATAACCATCAGTTAAATGGACATGAATATGATGTGAATACACGTAATTTTGTTAATTAGAATTTTCTTAATTAATATATAATAAATATTATATTCACAAGTTGTCAAACCGGTCATTCCGTGTGCAAACAATCTAATATCTCGTTATACAGCGTTATTATGATAATAATGATCAAGTAATAACGACCCCTATGTAACATTAGCAAGATTAACAATCTATTTGCTGATTTGTCGTGGTTATCAGCTTGCGTACAAGTTGCCAACCTTACATGGCGAAAACTTTGAATTCTAATTAGGACTCGCAAGTCCCGGAGTTTCTTGGTACTGTTTCAATAGTAATTGATGTATTACTGAGCTACAAAAGCTACAAAAGGAGATTGGCGAGCCAGTTTGCCAAATTGCAACCGTCTATTCGTTACAATGAATTTCTCTTAATATAAGATTTGCATATAAGATAAATGATCAAATTGGACAATTTCTATATTGTTTTCTTTTGTTATCTCAAATTATACATAACTTTGTACAAATTTTGCATTAACCATGTTATGTTATATTTAAAAGAAAAAAAATAGAAATTATTTTGAAATTTGTAAAAGAAAAATTTTAAAACAAAAAAGATTATTGACATGTTATTACCGTGTCACGGCTCTTTCTATAGAATAATATTTTTGTAAACAACGTTACTCCATATTTCTAAAAATAACAGATATATTTATGTAACCCCATTTAATTATTACTTTTTACATACAAGGTATTTATCATTTCAAACATTGTAATATTTTCGTTATTCTTTTAACATTGTTATTTGATTCGACGATGATAAATACTGTGATTCAAGATTTTCTTTCATAAAATCATTTTTCTTCAGTTTTAAAGCTCATCAACGATTTTATAATTATAACAATATTTTTATTATTTTATCAAACAATTGAATAATCATATTTGATATGAAAAATTCAGAGATATAATGGTATATATTTTTTTTTATATTTTTATTATTTTATTAGAATTTATACGAAACGATATTTTATGATATATAAAATATTTTTCATATAATAATTCTTTTTTAGAGTTTTATATAATTATTTTTTTTTAAATTAAAAAATCATTAATTGATTTCTGTCTAATTCCATTCGAAAATATATCTAGTTAAATTTCAATCTTTTCCACTCGTTACAATTCGAAATTATCTTTTTCTTCTTACATCGGTATTTATCGTATAAACCATCGTAAGAAAGAACATCAACCATTTTGCGAGTCTTCTTTATTCTATGTAATTAAATCGACATTAACGTCATTAAACTAGCGCTGGAGGCGTAGTATGCAGTGCGTATAAGAGTACCAATTAAGCATGTACGTTTTGATACTTGTTATGAAATGTACGAGGAAGAAACAAGATATTAGTACTAAAATTAAATACAAGTCGCTACAGTCGGTTTTTATAATTCGCTCGTAGTTCCATGTATCAAGTTAAACTATCAGATTCATTCATAATTTATTTTAGAAAAATCCTCTTTCAGGTACATTCTTCTTTCTTTATATATTCTTTCTATTTGACGTATTCTTCTATTCTAAATACGATCTAGATTTTTTTTAACATTGTCATTATTTTTCTCAAAGTAACTTAACCTAACCTAACTATTTAAGCTATCTAAGCTAATTGGATTATAATTTAACTTAAATTTAAATTAAACAGATACTTTTTGATTTTATGATGCATAATTTATTTATTATTATTTATACGAACAGTAATAATAAAATTTGCAAATATATCGTGATAAAGATACTATAAACTTTACTTTATCAGTGAATGCTATTGTGATCACTTTTAAAATAGTATTATAAAAATTTTTTCTATTACTTTTGAGGTTATATATCAAAATGTTTTCTTTTCAATATTTCTTTAAAAACAAGAAAATATATATATAGAAAAAAAACGTTTCAACATAGTTATTCTATACTATATTAAAAGTTGAAAGAAAGATATTTTGTTGCCATTAATCATATGAATAATGAAAACAAATTTTTTCGATTGACAAAATTGACACGAAAATAGCATCGATTTATAGATTCGTACTTTGAAAATGACCACAATGATATTCGACAAGAAGAATTAATTTTGGTACTAGTTCGTCTATTTCATTATTTACTTTAAGAAGACACGCAATTTTTCAGGCATTTACATATTATAAGAGAAAATTATATTTTCATTGCTTTAGAACCTCTACACTTTTCTTCTTTTAGAACATAGAACAAGTTGGTAAAGTTTAGCGGAACCTGTAGAACACTTTGTATAGAGGTATTGGTTAAACAGTTTGATATAATATGATAATGGAGAGAAAATAGGAAAAGTACTCTAAAGATTAACGTGGACAGCATCGAATGTATACAATAGATACTCTGTAATTCTAGCACACTTACTAGATCATGTGACACAACGAAATGTTAAATATTTTTCTATGTTTTGAATTATTTATTTTGAATTACATCGAGGATGCTAATAAATGTATCCACTTTTGATGCGTAAAAATTTTTATTACACAATACAGTACACAATATAACAACAAGATAACTAAAGATCACTTCGATAAAATGATAAGTAATGAAATCTCTCTGTTGTAACTGTGAAAATTCTAAGATTTGGTCGAAACATAAGTAAATGCATAGTTTAATCTCGATTTTCAAATATTTTCAGACAAGAAATAAACAAAATATTATATTTACAGGGTACTTTTATAAGGAACATGCTATCGTAATATTAGAAAACGTTTCAACATTGGCTGTTCCCGATAAACGAGGTTCTACTTGGAAAAGAAAATACTTGGAGATTGTGTGACGCTTTATTTAATTTTTTTTAATCGATGAAGCAAAAGATTAATCTTTTCCTAATCCACTCGTATTATCGTATAGGTAATACATTGAATTTTATTCATTTGTTTACGAACTTTTTAAATAACCCATGATTAATACATGCTGGTGCCTCGTTCAATGTCTAAACAAAAATTAAATAAAAATATTCGATAAAGCTATTTCAATTCGAGGAACACGATTAATCCTTTAATCTTGATTGGAAATTTTTAAATTTGAATCACAGTTATGATTAATAAATTTTTTCTCGAAGAATTTTACAATGTTTGAAAGAAGCTTGTAAGTATTTAAACGAATATCGAATTAATGAATTCGTGTTAAAGAAGTTTGAAAAGCGAAGACTTTTTACTTTGTCTGTTTAGCACCGAAAAAGCATTCGATAAGAATTATAATGAGAAATATTCGAAGTAAATTAATTACTGTAGAAAGCAATGATTAGCAATTCGAATGTAAAATTATTACATAAAGTAACAATTAAATAGGTAAGTTACTTTTCTTATTTAATAATGTAGCGTAGTATGAAAAAATGATGAATTAAAATGAATTAGAAAAATAAAATTTGACATCTAAAAATATCATCTTTTCCATTTCGTTGAAGACTAAAAGGACAAATACTAAATCTAGAACTCAGGAAAACTTCAGGAAACTCGTAGTTTGAATTACGGATTCTTTAAACACTTGAATAATTCTTTTTTTTTTTTGTTCCAGATTTCAATTATCAAAGTTTTACGATATTTTAGCTGAGATAATAACGTTCTTCATTACGAATTATTACTTTTAGTTTTATGTTCATTTGTTCTCAATCTTATCATCAATCTTCTCCAGTAAAAAAGAGAATTATATATATGGAAAGATCTGCTTTTATAGTGAATTTTATGTAATCTATATATTTTATATATTTTATATTTTTTCTGTATATTTCTATATCTTTTTCTTTATATTCTATATATTCTGTATATTTTGTATATTTTATATAAAAAATGATATATATAATCATATGAATTTTTTTACAGCTTGATACATAATTGATAAATAATTTTAATAGTATTTCTTATTCTATTTTTATCTACTTATGAACGACTAGTATATATATTCTGTAATAGTTAAATTACCATTATTGTATTTGTCTTAAAATTTGGAAAAACTATAAATCAACAAATGACCATAAAAAGAGAATATCTAAATATTAATTTTCCAATTAACATTGTGTATATACGTTTTTTAAGATTACATTTTGTATCATAAAATCAATAACACGGATCTAACATTTTCATATATAGAAATTTATATATAACTATTATATGTAAAAATATCATAGAATACATGCAATCTCAAAATAATTATTTGCATAAAGAGAAAGCTGAGTTTGAAAGATATGATGAAATAAAAATCAAGAGTAAAAAAAATAAAAGAAGCAAATTTATAGGAATATTAGGAATTAGAAATATTAATGCTTCTAAACGATATCGTTTTTAAATTTATCGTCGATAAATTTAAAAATGCAAATAAACACAAGATACATTTATAGTATTTTTTTATTGTATCGACGCATTTTTGATCAAAATTTTCAACAAGTACACGTGTTATTTAAGTTTCCTGTTTGCAGTAATTTATATAAGTAATAATTTTAACATAAATTATTGTTCAAAAATTTGGAATCACACTTGTTATTTATGGTTTATAAAAGAAAACATAATAATATAATTTTCTTTCTTTGTTAAATTTATTATAGACTTCTTTATATTATATTACTATTGTTTTTTATTTATAAATAAGTGATACCAAACTTTTGGCTATGTATATGATGTATTTGTACATATTTTTTTATTAGTTAATGATTTTGATATTTGTTCAAAATTTATTTGCAAAAAAATAATTTATTAAAAATTGGAATAATTGATGTTCAAATATTGAATAAACAATATTGATTATGTAAAATTTATACACTACAATGTGAAGGTGTATAAAAATATTAATTATAAAAATTCATGTGATTATATGTAAGTATACAATAAAAATAAAAATAGAATAAAAAGTAGATAATTGATTTTATTGAAAACAAATTAATTACGTGACATTAAAAATAATTCTATTTTTATTATAATAATATACACGATTAATAAATATCATCGCACTAAAATATAAATGTTAAAAAATAAATTAATTACTTATAAAAATTTATAATTTATACAAAAAAAAATAATTACACAAAAGTTTATAAATACACAAGATATTATTTCATAAAATATTTTTATAAATTAAATTCATAAGTTATTGATAATTATATTCGCTATAAATATTAATGATTATATTTATTAATAAATATAATAATAAATTTTCATAAATGAAATAAAAAATTTAGAAAACATGTCGATATATATAAAAATTCGATTTAAAGCTGTACAGCTGTGATGGATGGAAGCAATAGATCTAGAAAACAATAAGAATAACAAAAAAAGACAGTAAAAAGGGAATATTAATATGTGCGTTACAAAAAAATCTTTTAATATCTTTAAAAAGAAATAGAAAATAATATAAAGTTTATAATAAAGATGACATGGTAAATGCAAAAATTGTATATTATTCAATATAGATATATAATATATATATTTTATTAAAAAAAATTAATACGAATTAGAAATATACAATTTATAAATATATGCGAAGTTAAATATTAATTGAAATATTAAAATGTCAGTTGAATCAACGAATAGATATAATTTATTTATTAATATAAATTTTAAGAAAATAATATCACTGTAATTGAAAAATTGAACAAGAAGATAATTTAAGAAAAATATTATGAAATATTATTAAGAATAATACCAATAGAGAGAGTGGCGCCATCAATGATACTAATGGCGATGAAAATATCAACAACAAAAATATTAACCCCTAATAATTACTATGTCAAACTTAATAAAAACAGTTTAGCTAATATTAAAATAAATAAAAAGACTTAAATATTTTAACCCTACATTTATCATTCAACGAATTACATCATAAACTATATAAATATTAATAACACCATCAACAAAATACAGTCATTACAACAATTTGTCGAACACTTTTTACCTTCTTTAGCGTGTTCACACATAACAGTTAGCCACTTGGACAAAATTCATTAACTTCTTAATTATAGAATACACCTTTGATTTTGTCCTTTCTTTCTGTTCATTATATTATGTTTTATTTAATATTTAAAAGTTTTTTATCAATTAATCAACAGAACAAAAAATGTTAAAATATAGAATATCCACTGGTTTCGATGTTAGAATTTTGATGAAGAACCGTTAGGCGTGGTAAGAAGCCCGATGACACAGGTTGGAAAAAAACACAATTTAATTTGAGTGTAGACGAAAATAAAAAAAGGAATTGACGAATTTTTGATTGTATCTTGAAGAGTTGGGTAATACCAAAAATAATTTGTTACAAAATGAAATTGAATTTGAGGAGAAATGAAAAAACTACGGTGAAATGTAAAAAAAATTTAATATCTCGATCGATAAAAACTGAACGAATTGTTTATCGACTGAGAACGACCACTTTTTAAGAAAAACATCGCAACGAAAGCTCGAGCAATCGTGCAATATTTATAAAAATCAAAAGAAGGAAAAACTGTGATATAATAAGAATTCGTCGATATAGGTTACATCGTGTCAATCAAATGGAAAACATCGAAAAAAAATTTCACTGACACAATAAACTCGAGGGCGAGACCGAAAAAATCCACAAAGCGATTGCGTTTCCTTACGTCGAATTCACACATAATTTAAATCACTGATATCCAGCATCGGTGTAGAAAGGCGGGACGATCTGTACGAGAAATCTTGCGTGCATCGATACACAAAACTATATTTCGGACCGATTATCGAGAGCACCAAAGGATCCGATGATATTTAGCAAGTACCACCACCCTTTTTTTCCACCGATCATCAACGGCACATTCTCTTCGTTATTTTGATTCACTCGAGCCCGAACCTAAACCCGAGGGAGATAGACAACACAACAAGCAGGCACACAGATCAAGAGAGGACAGACCGCGTGTATGTTATATAATGTACCCGCGTACGTGTAGATGCGTGAGAAAGAGTAAGTGAGCGAATAAATGAGAAAGATAGAGAAAGAGCAAGAGCGAGAGAGCGAGAGAGAGAGAAAGCCAGAGCAAGAGAGAAAGATAGAGAGTGGGGAGGAAAAAGAGAGAAAGAGACAGAATGAGCAACCAAGTGGGGGTAATGGAGAGAGAGAGAGAGAGACAGAGAGAGAAGGAATGAGAAGAGAGAGAGAGAGAGAATATAAGTGAGGCAGAGAGAGAGAGAGAGAGAGAGAGAGAGAGGAG